CAAACAGTGGTTAAGTTGGTTCCAGAGTAGGTGATTGCAGTGTTGAAATATAGAATTATGAATAAAGGTATAAATGTTCACACTACAAAACACCACTAAAATTAATAATAAAAATTTGAAATTGGAGTTAGTCATTTTGTCAACTAAAAGGTTCATATATGTAAGTATGTCTGTGTTCACGGGTGCCCATTTCCCCCAAGGTCGATGGAGCAAGAATCTATCTCCCCCCATCATTCTCAGAATTGGGACGTTTCCAATATGGAGGTTGGCAAAATTTGTGTATTTAATTAGGTACTAAAAGCTCATGAATGCCCATTTCCTTTCCACTTAAATCGTAAGATAATCATATCACAAAATCGAGAATAAATATAGCCTACAAAAACACTGGGCCGTTTGGCGTGACCTCCATCCCCGAAATGTCAAAATAACGAGGTTATATAGGCCAAACTGCCAAATATTGTTGTATGCCGCCTTTTATTACGATTTTGTGATCAAATGATCATACGATTCAAGATGAAAGGAAACAGATATTTATGATTTTTTAGTACCTAATTAATTTAATAATATAACGCCACATTTCTGAGAATTTTCTTAGATACAAAATTTGTAAGTTACGATAAAATGTATCCATTCACCAAGTTTTAGGTGGGTGTTAATAATTTTATAAAATGGGTTCTGTACCACGGACTAAAATGGATATCACAAAATCTCAATACTGCAAAGACGTATTTTCTTTATAAGCATATACTATAATTAACGATAGTTCAAACCCATACGAATCAGTTGTATCAACCTTTACTTTTTAGGACATCAACAAGCGGTCAAGACATTTTTTTTTTTTTTTTTTTTTTTTTTTTTTTTTTTTTTTTTTATTGAATAATAATACAATCAGCCACTGTTGGAGGGCTATAAGTATTAAGGCTAAAAGTTCTCATTCATACAGTATATACAAGTAATACAGAAGTAACTATAAATATAAAAAGTAAATAAATAATACTTATAAAAAATGTAAATCAATAGAAAAAAAAAAATAAAAAAATAAAATAAACAAATAAATAAACAAAATAAAACAAAAACTTCTAAACACATTCATACCTATATACAATATATACATTCGCCCAGGAATCTCCGAGCCAGGCTTTTCTCCCCACATGTGAAAAGCAAAGCAGGACTCCAGAGATCCCAGTGCCATTTTTCCAGCCGCATCACTAGTATTAAAAGCCAGTGGAGGCTGAAGGAGGGCACTAGAGCCACAGATGCTCAGGACTTGAGTGGAGAAGCTGGCCATTGCCAGGACTCCAGAAGCATATTTACAATAGATCTCAAAGCCACTGCCGTTTTAACCTTCGAGGGGGATTGTAGGGATGGTGGGAGCTGGATAGGGATTGAGCTAGAGGATTTGGATGATGGATAAGGTTCTGGTGAAAGTTTGAGAATCTGGATGGGATGATGTCGAGGACAAAAGGGATGTTAAGGTCATGGTGTAGGGTCTTATTTGTGACATAATATGGGGCATTGGCTATTGTTCTAAGTACTTTGGACTGGAAGGATTGGATGCGTTTGATATTCGAATGTTTAGCAGTTCCCCACAGTTCAAGTCCGTAGGTCCAGATAGGTTTCAGTATTGTCTTGTAGATTAAAAGTTTATTTTCAATCGAAAGATGAGATGTCCTGCTTAGTAGTCTATATAGCTGGCCATATCGTTGGTTAAGTTCTTGTCTTTTAAGTCTCGTATGTGGGTTCCAAGTTAGTCTTTTTTCTAGAAGGAAGCCAAGGTAACGGACTGTATCTGAGTAGGGAAGTGGTATTGAATTGAAAAGAATTGTGGGACAGGATCTGCGTCGCATAGTGAAAGTAATATGTTTACATTTTGCTTCATTGATTTTAATGCGCCAGTCGTTGCACCACTGCTCTATCAAGGAGAGGTGAGATTGTAGGTTTTGAGATGCTATTTGAGGATCTGAGTGGGAGGATAGAATGGCAGTATCATCGGCAAATGTAGCTAGGAAGGTATCGGGATTTGGAGGGATATCGGCAGTGAAAAGGATGTAGAGAACTGGACCCAAAACACTGCCTTGTGGAACACCAGCCTCAACTGGATAGTAAGTGGAGAATTCGGTGCCGCAACGGACTTGGAAGGAACGATTTGAGAGATAGGATTTGAGGACTAGGTATAAGGATTGGGGTAAATGGGTTTTGAGCTTGAAAAGCAAGCCATCGTGCCACACCCGGTCGAAAGCTTGCGCTACGTCCAGAAAGGCACCAGTGCAATATTGCTTGTTTTCAAGTGCAGAGGATATATGGTCCACAACACGAAGGCCTTGTTGGACAGTGGAATGTCTTGAGCGGAATCCAAATTGATGAGAAGGGATGTTGTGGGATTCGAGTATGGGTAGGATGCGTTTGAGGAGGATTTTTTCAAAGATTTTTGAGAGGATAGGGAGTAAACTTATCGGTCTGTAGGATGATGTGTTATTAACGGGTTTGCCTGGTTTTGGAAACAGCACGATTATGGAGTGTTTCCACATCAAGGGAAAGTTGGTAGTACGAAGGATGCAATTATATAGATAGGTCAGGAATATAATTGATTTTTTGGGAAGTTGTCTAAGGATTTGTGAAGTGAGGAGATCATATCCAGGGGATTTTCGGGGTTTTAATTTGTTTATGAGGAATTTGACCTCAGAGGGGTTAACAGGTTTTGGAGGTAGAGAGAGAGGAATTGGTGAAGAGAGGAATTCTTTAACTTCAGCAGTGTGGGTGGGATAGAGTTCGGGATGGGGAGTGAATGTGTAGGATAGATGTTTAGCAAACTCTTCAGCTCTATTCGCATCTGACGAAGCCCAGGAACCATCATCACGGCGGAGGGGGTGGGAAATGGATTGGACTTTAAGGATTTTTTTAGTTACAGTCCAGAGGGAGTTATCACTATATGATAATGAGGAAAGGTAGGAATTGTAGGATTGGGTTCTAAAGATATCCAGTTTCTTTTTTACCTGTTTGGAATAATAGTTATACGATTTCCGGTCATCAGGATGCCTGGTTCTTTGCCAGAGGGCCCTAGAGCATCGTTTGCTATGGATAAGGTCCAATAGGTCTTGGGGTAGAGGATTTATACTGAGGTGTTTTTTGGGACGATCAGGTGAGGATGCAGTCCAAACTGCTTGCTGGATCAGGGTAGTAAAGGAGTCCACTGCATCGTCAAGGTCTTCAGGTGTTTTTAAGGAAACTCTGAGGTCTATATTATCATCCAATATTTGACGGAAAAGGTTCCAGTTAACTGGTCCCCTGATAAATGAAGGAGAGGATGATTTAGGAATGGGTGATGTGGAAGCGGTTAGGACTATAGGACTGTGGTCTGAGGAAAGATCATCAAGCCTTGAAATGGAACAGTGCAATGATCCTAGACCTTTGTGTAGGAAAAAGTCTAGAAGGTCGGGATTGCGGTTGGGATCTGTTGGCCAGTATGTGGGAGTATTAGGTGAAAGGATGTTGCTGCGATGGGAATTAAGTGCAGATAGCAGTGTTCGCCCTCGGGAATTTGTGGATCTGGCTCCCCATTGTTGGTGTTTTGCATTTAAATCTGCACCTAGGATGAAATGGTGTCCTAAGGAATTCAGGAAGGAAATTATTTGGGATTCGGAAATGGGTATTTTAGGCGGGGAATATGCCGCAACTAATGTTATTGGGTAAAGGGAAGTTTGGATTATTACGGCAGTGGATTGTAGGAAATTATGGGTTGGTAAGGGAAATAAATGATGGGAGAGAGATCGGTGGATAATTAAAGCAGTGCCAGCATGTGCGGTCAAGACATTAACGTTTTAAACTTAACAAAAGTGGAAAACTAAGACGAAAAAAAAATGTAATGAAAATATTTTATACATTCATGAAAATAATTAGGTAAAATTGGTAATATTTGTCGAGCTATGCAAATCTATTTAAGTTATAGGTGAAAGTAAAGTTATATTAAAAATTATAAAATTTATATTTTCCTCTAATAAATGTAAAACTATTAGCAAATATTATCACATCTTTTCGATTTTTCTGTTCATCACAAGTATGTTTCTGTCTCTTGCTTACAGTATGCAGGTCCGATTTTTAGTTTCTGAGATATTTTAATCCATATGCAAATCAGCTCATTTAATCAATTCGGTCGAGCGTTACACATCGGAAATCTGACGGCTCAATTAAATTCACTCTCAACAAAAAAAGTGCAAAACGCGCTTAAAGAAGTTTTCACTTCAAAAATTTAAAAATTCAATATAATGATTGGTATGACGATATAATGTATCACTTTATAATTAACCACATTTAGTCATAATGTAAGTAGAATTGGAGCTATTTCAACATTTTTATTTTAATCATTACACAGACGGACTAAACACATACTACTAAACATCTAAATCAATCTGTTTGTTTATTTACGACAATTCAACGGATTCTTCTCTATTAACAAGCAAATAACAATAAACTCTATCACTCCAATTAATAAATTATATTTATAAGACGTGTGTGTATATTTATATTTATAGGATGTGTGTGTATGTGTATATTTGTGTGGGTGTGTGTGATATGATATGTATATATATGTATATATGTATATATATATATATATATATATATATATATATATATATATATGTGTGTGTGTGTGTGTGTGTGTGTGTGTGTGCATGTATGTGTGTATATAAGTATGTATAATTATATATATAGTTTTCTTATGTACATAAATTATATTTTGTTTTTCTTGTAATTTTAAGGATTATAATCTAGTTTTTCTTTTATATGTTTTGTAGGTTTTTTATGAGGTTTTTCCTACTGTATAAAATGGATTTCAATCTACTAAACAACATTCATACCACTAATATGTCATGTATAAGGTTACTGCAACCACAAACATGGAATTTATCATGTTGACATGATGTAATGTATATATAAATAAATAAAAAATAAAAAAATTTTAATCATAACATTTTTACCTAATATTTATAAGCAAAACATAATGCGTTTAGATTTGTCATGTGACTAAATACAAGTTACAACAATGATTACGGTATTCCATAAATTTTATAAGTTTTTTTTTTTAATTCTTGAAATAACAACTCCATGCGCTAGGTGTGGATATTCAAGTAATTAGCAGCTAATCCAAGAACAGGGCAAGCGGTTGCTTGTTGGGGGAATTCTCCAGCAGACGCGGCTATTTCCAAGTGAGTATATCGCAGTTTGGATTCCGTCGAGTCCAGTCCATGCGCGTCGAGACCAGAGGCCATGATGAGGAAAGCGGCCGGTCCCTGGTGACCCCGGGGCGGCAATGTCACTAACTGCACAACATCTTCACCTTCAGTCTTTCCTCTGTATCCATCGTAATCTTCTTTCCTTATGGTACTGATTTCAAACATATCTCCCAAAATTTCTCCACTTTTTTGTAGCTGTTGTGAAAACGATTGCACCCGGGCTGGACCATTATCCATTAAAATAGTATATCCAGCGCCAACTGTTCTCATGGCATGGCCGGTAAGCGTTGCGATTGTAAAGAGATGTGGATTGACAGACCTTTTGGCTATATCCTTCATGTAACTAAGAACATCGGCCATCACCATTCTTCCTTCTGCATCCGTGTTGACGACACGGACTCTTTTGCCAGCACGGGAAGTAATAATTTCATCGGCAACATAAGAGTTCTCACCACAACTATTTCTGACTAAACTGAGGCCAGCAACGACCTTCAAATTCTCTGGTTCGAGCATACTAACCACCTTCATGAAACCAGCAGCAGCGGCAGCACCACACTTATCCCTGCACATCCCAACCATGCCGCCACTTACTTTAATGTCAGCGCCACCGGTGTCATAAGTTACCCCTTTGCCAACGATGAACAGAGTGTCAGTAACAGATGAGCCTTCATAAGTAAGGTACATTATTCTTCCCTTGTGCCTTTCGATTACAGAAGCTCCTCTATTTACAGCAGAAAAAAGTGGATATTCTTCGTTAAGAGTATCTTCATTACATACCACATCGATAATCACATTACCTCCAGCCGGAAATGTTTCATTCACATATTGTTCAACTCTTTCTGGAGTCATTCTTTCAGGGTCAGAACCACCGATGTCTCTCGCAACTACTCTACCAGTTTCCAAAGCAATAGCAACAGAAATCAGCTTTGATATATTTTGACTCGCTGGACTATGAACTCCGATCATGTTGACTTTAGGATAACGATGAGGGCAGTCCTCACGGTACTGAAGATTTACATAAAGCCCTTCCATAACTCCAAGCAACGAGACGAGTTGAGACTGAGGAAAAGGAGGGTATTTACCTAAAACTATCAAAGGGGCCTTTAGACCAGAATTTAAAACTCTTGCTATCCCTTTCCGTGCAGCCCGGGTGAAGCACCTTACATCGTCGTATTCTGGGCTTATTGGTCCCGTAGATGAATAAAAAAAACACTTAGCAGGAAACTCCATTTGATGAACACTGATTTCATCGAATTGGTCATCTTGAGCAGCAGCTTCTTCAATGGCATTTTTGAACTCCTGTGGAAGTGCGTCATCTTCACTTGCATTATGAGAAATCAATAAAATGCAATCAAATTGATTATCTTTTATATCTCTAACAGCCTTTATTTTATAACCTAACGACATGGTTTAGCATGCAGCACCACAACTGCTATAGCAGCTATTTTATACTATCCACATTCCAAGGGTTAATTTTTGTTAATATGGCATGATATAATTAATAATATTTTTAAAAAATATCTAGGCATCTTGCTTCCAAGGAAACGCATAATTAGGTTTGAACTATTAACAATTAATCCTATTAGAATGTTTTCTGGGTCAGGCCATGTGTATTTAAAATGGTTCAAAGACAGAATCTTTACTTTTCTATTTTAATAGGAAATGGTGGCAGCGATGTTGGTAACAGTTTGTGTCATTTTCATTTAGAATGTGAAACTCGAACAGCTTCTAAACCATTTGTAGAAATGTAGTTCGAATTGATATGAGTATGATTATTTGTAATTTTTGTAGCTTATGAGAAAATGAAAGCTCCTAATATTGTATATTTAATTCATAAGTTTCACAAAGCGTACTGGAAGAGATATAAAAAAATTACCAACGGTAAGTTAATAAACAAAGTAAGGATTTCAAAAGGTAATTTATCCGATAACCATAAGTCCAGGAAATATCTTCTTTGGAATGTAAACAGCCTCGATGAATTGTGGCTCTGGATTTCCAATCCTTAAGAAGAGCTGTTTCTCTCTCCTCTAAGACGTCGGAATCTACCACGTCTTAAAAGTTATGTAGATACAGTTATCATAAAGATGAAAAAAAAAAAAAAAAGAAAAAAGAGGATGAAGCAAGGTGGAAGATGGTGAAAGTAACTTTATGAAGCTGCGGCAATGGGCAGGTGCAGCGGATAACCAGTTCTCGGTGGAGGATAAAAAATCTATTTTTTGAAATTGCATTTGTAAATCAATGAGTGAAATTAGGCCATTTATATGAGAGAATGAATCCTTTTTCAATGAGTGTACCCGTCCTACACATCTCCTATTGAAAAAAAAAAAGACTAATAAAAATAAACTTGCCAGGTAGACAGTTCTACCATAAAAGATTACGGTTGTGGTATATAACCGATACGGATTCAAGGACTGGAATTTAAAATATCTCACAAAACTGGATCCTGGAAGCAATGCCACGTCTGACTATTTATTTTTCTTCCTCCTATTGTTTTTTTAGTGCTGACTGTATCTTTCCGGTCCGTAAATTTGAAGATGTTTTCATGAAACAATTCTTTCGAATAGGAATCGAGCGGCCTTGTGGGAATAACGGCTAAAACTATAAAAAAAAAATGACCTAAGGAAATATTGCCCCGATATTAAAATCTCTTTAAAAAATGTTACATTTATAATGTATTAATCATTTAGAAAGCATTAAAATTTATCACCAGTCACTCAGATATGTAATTAGAGGTATATTTACGATTGTTATCATTTTCACTCATTTTAAATCTTTGGCGCAAATGCAGAATATGGACAACAAAATTTCGCTTACTCCAAGAGTAACGAAGGGTAACTCCAATTTTGCAGTTTTTAACCTTACTAGTGGATGCAGGATTTAATTTTTGGAGGGGAGGGGGGATTCAGCCCGAAAGCTTTTATTTTTATACATATAAAAATAATTAATTAAAGAAAAAGAAAACGTGATCCTTGAAGTCCTATCAACTGTAATTACATGAAAAATAATACTTTTAGAGATAATTGTTATATTATTTTCATAGGACGTGGTTATATTTCACATTTTGAGGAGGCAGCTTCAGCCCAAAAGTAAAAAACAAATACATATTTATGAGTATGGAAATGATTTCCAGTCACTTTTCACTGAGAATTGTTTTTTGTTTTTTTCTATCTATATGATTTTAAGTCTTTAAGATACATTTAATATTCTACTAATATTGAACGCACTTCTCTATATGTATATTATATTTTTTTTTATTTTCTCCTACCAATATACTTCTTAGTATATAGATTATGAGACTTTTCTAATGTTTGCAATACGACTGTAAGTACTTATTTGAACATATTAAGGTACAGATCATTTATTGTAAATATTTATCTATGTTTTTTTATTATTATTTTTTTCATTATCTACAATGGTTTGCCAATAAAAGTAATTCATCGTTCTTTTCCAATTTCATTTAGTTATTTCTTACTTTATTGTTTGTAGCAGCCATTTTGCAGTATTGTGACCTTATTGTTCATTTTTTTTTTTTTTGTAATATATCTTTATAGCTATGTAAATACCTCTATTATTACTTATGTTTTAGTTATTATTTTATTTTAATATGTATTTTGGCCAGATTTAATGTTAAGTTTTAATCAATACCAAGGGACTTTCTACCAGAATAAAATTGATTTTTCTATTTCATTCTATAATCCCTAAACGGCGCATCTAAGCGAAATATGTACCCTTTAAGCGATTATAGAATGTTATATAGTGCATCGAAGAAGTACATAAACTTTAATAATAATTTACTTAAGGGGTATGGTCGATAAGCACGGTCAACGGACGCTGATTTTAACCAAAATAGACAAAATTAAGACAAATTAATATAAAGAATGAATAATAGGTTTCCTAAGCGAAATTTTTTTTTTTTTACAATAAAGTTTTATACCATCAAATTTCGCGTCCACTGAGTACCAACTGTTTTAATGTAGGCCACTAACTTCTCTCGAAATCCGTAATCCCCCGATGGTTCAAAATTCGTAATGAAGGTATCTGTGATATTAAATATTTCAATAGTATTGGTGTCTACTCAGCTGACATTGAGTTATTCTTGTTTGGAGCATGCAACGAGTATACGACTCAAAGAAAACGAATTTCACGAAGAAATAACAAATCTCTCATCGAGAGATATTATTGACCTACATTCAAACTGTTGGTACTCAGTTGATGCCTAATCCGAAGCTCTGCAACTTTTATTCTATGATTTTTTCCTCTTAAGAAACTTTTTCTCGAAACTACTGTCCCATTTATAGTAATTGGTCTCAGTATTTGACTAATTTGGTAAACATCAGCGTTCGCTGACCGGGTTTGTCGAAAGTACCGCTTAACCAAATTATTACGTTTAGGTACTCGTTCGACGCACAATTCAAAGAAAGAAAAAAAGTAAATTTTATTTTATTATTATTTTTATTTGGGACATTCAGTACCTTCAGAACAACTAAAATGAACAGAGAAATGACAATTATGGATAATTAAATGACAAAAAAATAAACTAATTCACAAAGTTATCTAATCTTAATATTAAAATAAAGAAACATGTGAATTTTTCATAATATTAAGAGTTCTTAATATTAAAAATAAAGACACTGTAGAAACATATGGTCTTGAATTAGACATGTGAATTTAAAGGGGACCCTATACGGTCAATCGGAATTGCACTAATGACGTTCCGAATTGTCGTGTAAGGTAGTGAATGAAGTACTGATGGTGGTGCGCTGCGGATTTCCGAACATCCGGAAATCAAAGGTTCATTCACGAGAAGTGGAGGGGGGACTGAGGTAAACGTAGTGGGGAGACTAACCATACTGCTGGATAGGTTAGGTTACCTAGGCCTCACAACCATTATAAATTTCTGATTTTCATTATATGTAAATAGTTAAATAATTTTTCATATCCCTTGTTTATAATTTTAAACCATCTTCAACTATTTCTTTTAAATAGTCAAGTGGGCAACAAATTAAAAAAAAAAAATGAGGAAACTTCACAATTTACTTTAGGAAAAAAAAAAACTTTATCGTTGTGTATATTTATCAGTTCTTTTCCCATTTTCCTCAACAAATTTATTATTTTCGCAATACCTTTCCATAATTTTTGTAAGTAGTAGACTTATATTTTACTAACTTTTGTAAAACGGTTTTCTATGAGACTACTACTAGATAGGTTAGTTTACCTAGGTCTCGTTATTAAGTAAATAGGTGTTTATATCCCTAGTCTACATTATTATTAACCATTTTCAACTATTTTTTCTTTAAATAGTCAAGTAGGCAATAAATTGGAGAGAAAAAAAAGTGGAAACTTCACAATTTACTTATAGAAAAAAAACTTTAACTGTTGTGTTTATTTGCCATTAATTTATCCATTTTTCTTAACAAATTGATTACTTTCGCAATACTTATCACAGATTTTTGTATGTTGTTGACTTATATTTTGGACTGACTTTGGTCTAAACGATTTTCAGGCACTAGGAAGTAATTATTATATCTCCATTTTCTCTTGATGCCCAATATTATAAATGACAATGTCCAAATAAGCATATCCATGCTGTTTCTTTGTTTACAACTGCGCTAAATTGGTCAGCAACGATCTAACCTAAATCAGCAACGATAAGTAATGATCAGTAATGATTGAACGTGTAAGGGTCTTCATGATCACAGCGATAGCGGGCAATCTTGGAACTTCTTGTGACGTTCATTCATGAATTACCGTGTAGGGTCTACTTAATGATGATTACATACGGGTGAGTTCAAGTATTTGTACAAATAAGCAATATCTGCAAGACAGCGGTATAGTGTAACCGACATCTCTAAAGTACAAAATAACTTATTCAACGTTGTTTAATTGCATAAAGAGTACATATTTCGCTTAGATCCAACACTTAGGAGTTATAGTAGTAATTTAAATAAAAATATTGAAAAAAAATGGCTTTTTTTGGCAGTAAAAAGTTTTCTCTTGGTGTAGCGTGTTAGCGATTTTAATTTTTTAACCCATACTTACAAGTTTTTTAAAACTTATTTATTGAGAAATATTACAGTCTGTCACAATTAAGGACACATTTAAAAGTGTTTAGAGAGCGCATTCACACTATTTACAATAAATAAAAATAATTAAAACAGAAAAATAATAATAATAATACTAAAAGTAAATGTATATAAACAAAGATAACTAAACTAATCCAAATAATAACTTAAACACGCTCATACTTTTATACAATGTTTACAGAATTCGTTCACTGAGGAGAACTCCGAGGTAAGTCTTTCTCCCATTTGAGGAAGGAAAGTCCAATACTAGATGCCCTGCTAGGGAATCCCAGCTCTTCTTGCTCAGCTGCATTACTGGTATTAATATATATAAGTTAAACATTAAAATCTTTCCAGTTTTTTCGTAATAAATTTCCCTTTTCAATCCTCAAGTAAGTAGCCTAATATTTTTTAAATTAGCCGCCATTTTTTCTAATAGCATGATCCGCTTGACTCCCTCATTTTTAAAAATATAAATATATGAACAAATGCTTTCAAAATTCTCTTCAGATCATGTCAATTTATTTTACA